AGATCAACCTGTCAGACCCTGCAAATACAACAGTAGCCAGCCAACGCCACCCTGCAAACATCCCTACGTCCGCGCGAACACCACAGTGCGCCAACTGAAAAAAAAAACAACACTCGCATGCACAACAGTCCTCGACATACATTTATAGAGCTGGAGGTCAGAATGGGGTGCCCGTTATCCTGCTACAGGGTTTGCCCATGTCCGTATGCAAGGTCATGCTGGTGGCCATCGCATTGCGAATCTCCATCATCACCATAAGCATGATGATGATCGTAGACATCAACAACAACATCATCATCATCATCATCATCATCATCATCATCATCACCATTACCATTACCGCCAACATCATCACTATCAACGCTACTGCCGCCATCATGGTCACCACGATCGCCGCCATCATCATCATCATCATCATCATCATCATCATCATCATCATCATCATCATCACCATCACCAGCGGTCACAGGCCCATGCTCCATGGTCGCAATGCAGTACATGACCATGGATTTCACCAACGTGGCCAACATTACGAATTACACTTGCAAGTTCGCCAGAGGGGCCTGAGTGTTACCACGTCCCCTCCGAGGGTGGTCTGGCACGTTTCATTCAACAGGAAGGTGTGTCCGTTTTTCTGAGGGGGGGTCGTTCATTTCGGCATTTCGAGTATGCTGTCGTTTGCCATTGCCACATCAGTCCGCGGAATCCACACCATGCCATTCAGCACCGCGATCGCCTGCCATCGCTGCAAAGTCAGCGCGAACATCACAGTGCGCTTGCGAAGTGCAGCAGCAACATATGTGTACATATGTATATCCTGGACCCCGCCAGCAACACAACTGCCAGCGAATGTCACGGCATTCCTGTAAGCTTACGATCATCGCGACGTGCTTGTGAGAGCCACGTGCCTGTGTACATCACATAAGCCAGCCTGCCTAGACCTGCACTTCATACAGTAGGAGCTCGACCACAAGAGAACTTCCACAAGAAACCCAACCCTGAGACCCCAGGACGTCCATTGTTTTTTGGTGTGGGAACGTCACGCTTTCCTGAGCAAAGCCATCGAAACCCAAAAAACCCGGGGCACCCTGGTGGCAAGCCGGGTGTTGCTTGGCATGGACTTCCACTGTAATCCTAGGTCGGGCATGTCCTCCTACAGGCGGATTCTGGAAGACAGATGAAAATTATGTTTCCACGAACGGTCCCAATCGAAACCTGAATTGGACGCCCGAGGTATCCGGGGTAACTCGGGTCCGAGGTAACTCGGGTTTGGGTTACCGAAAAACGAACCCGAGTTAGCCCTGACCCGAGTTACCCCTGATGATTCGGGACCCTGGACGCCCGAGTTATCCGGGGTAACTCGGGTCCGGGATAACTCGGGTTTGGGTTCCCGAAAAACGAACCCGAGTTAACCCTGACCCGAGTTACCCCTGATGATTCGGGGCTCTGACTGAAGCGTCTATTCCCGACGACGCGCGGTCGCCTGCCCGGTGAAACGCTGCGCGTGGGGCCCCTGTGTTCTCGGCCGGTGCGACGGTCGTGCCGGGCGGCGGATGCCATTGCCTCCAAATCGAACAATCCAAACGGCAATGGCATCCCCAAGGCAATTGCAATGCCATTGCCTCCAAATCCAAACGGCCATTTTTTTGCCATTGCCCTGGGCTCCTGACGGAAGAAATTGAAAGAAACCCCAGGGCGAAACAACGAGCTTCGAAAACGAGCGGCGCGAAACGGATAGAGGGCCGCAGCCCGTAGAAAGAGGGAGAGGAAGAGCATCAGCAGGAGAAGCAGGAGGATGCGGACGACGAAGGAGGAAGAAGAGGGAGGTGAGGCGGACTCTCCTCCCTACGTTTCCTCCTCCTCCTCTTCCCACAACTGCACAACTGCTGTTGCTGGATTCAAAAACTGTTCCACCGTGTTCCATGTAGTCACGCTCTAACTCGTAATGCTCTAGTATGTCCTGTTCTGCTCTCGACGGGCTGGCGTGACGTCGTGACGCCTACGGCGTTATGTGCGCCGTCTGTTCTGATGTGCCTCTTTACTTAATGTTTATCTTGCGATTGAATGTGTTATGTTATGATTATCTCTGTCACCACATGGTTTGAGAGGTTATGATATGATTTGCTCTGTGGGAATATGACAAGGCATGTTAGGGTATGGCAAAACATATTATAGCATGCTCTGTTCCATGATGATGTTGGCAGCTCGACTCAGTATAGTATAGTATGGTATGCTCTGCTAGTATGTTCCTATGCGCGGTATGATATGTTATGTGAAGCTGCCACGATACGATCTGATATGTTATGGCATGATGTGTTATAGTATGCTCGGCTATGTTATGATATGTTATGCTATGGTATGCCATGATCGGCTCTGATATTGTATGAGTTGTTATGCTTGTTGACGGCTGGTTCTGTATAGTTTATAGCGGTCTGCTGAGCTAGTATGTGTCGCTAAGCTCTGCTGTCGTGTTATGATATGTTGCGTGATGATGTGTCATTGAATGATATGTTATGGCAATGTGTGTTATGTTATGATCAGCCATTTAATGTTATGGCGTGTTGCGTCGTTTCATGGTATGTGGTGGTCTGCTCTGGTAGGATATGTTCTGTGCTGTTACGCCTTGCTGTGACATCAGGAACGCTATGTTTTGCTCTGCCATTGTCGGCCATAATCGTGTTCTGATCTGTCATGTTCTATTGTGTCATGAGGTGTTCTGTCGTGCTCGTCGTCGCTATACTCTGCTGTCGTGTACTTAAGTGTTCTGCGATGCTGTCATAATGTGATATGTTCTGTCACGTGCGTAATGGTATGCTTGGTTATAATATGTTATGTTGTGTTATGCCGTCTTCAGCTCTGTCATGTTATGCACGGGATATTATGTGTTTGCTGAAAGCCCGGCTCTGTCTAACATACAGAATGATCCGCTCGGGTAGTATGAGCCGCTTTGCTCTGCTGCCGTGCTGTGATATGTTCTGTGGTGTTGTGCCATAGTCTGACATGTTCTGTCAAGGTGTGTTATGGAGTGCTCGGTTATGCTATGTTATGGTGTGTTAGGTCGTCTTCTCTTATGTGACTTTCTGCTCTGGTATGTTATGTGATGCTTTACTACGCTCTGTTTTGTCATACATGTGTTATGTTATGTTCTGCCATAGTCGGCCATGCTCGTGCTCTGATCTGTCATGTTTTGTTGTGTCATGTTGTGTTCTGTCGTGTTCGTCGTCGCTATTCTCTGTTATCGCGGTACGATATGTTCTGTGATGCTGTGTCATGACATGATATGTTATGTCAAGGTGTGTTATGGTATGCTCGCGTATTTCATGTTCTATTGTGATAAGTCGTATTATGTTCTGTCATGTTCTGCTCTGGTATGTTATGTGATGCTCCGTAATGCTCTACTGTGTCATGTTATGTATATGATATATTATGTCATGCTATGTCATGCTCTGTTCCTTTCTGTTATGTTATATTCTGTCATGTCGAATTCTGTCGTGTTCGTCGAGGGCGCGAGGCGGGACACCCGGGAATTTCGGGGATCATCAGGTCAAATTGGGGTCTGGCGACCGCGGCATGCAAGGTGAGGATGGCCGAGCGCGAGGCGGGATACCCGGGATTCTCGGGGATCATCGGGACAACTTGGGGTCTGGCGGCCGCGGTATGCAGGATGGGGTTGGCTGGGGGGCCTGTTCTCAAATCTAACAACCCCAACCTGTCGGGTGGGGATGAAAATTGAAACATGTTCAAAAAATGGCCAAACAGAGTCAAACAAAATCGTTCCCAGACTATTTTTCAACTATTTTCTTGTATCCCGCCTGTAGAGGGACAGGCCCGACTTAGCCGTAACCCCTGTTTTCCATCACTCCTTCTACTTACTGGCCCTGGCGAGCGCGCGAAAGATCTGCGAGCCCCGCGGCGTGCCGGTGAGCGCCAGCTTGCGAACACGCCAGACGGCGAGGCATGCTGGACCGCGCCAGCGCCACAACAGCTCGTAACCGCCAGAAGTATGAACAACAACATCCCATATGTACCATGCCGCAGGGCTCGACCAAAACAGTGCTTTTCGTTTTCGTCTTGTGCTCGTCTTCCCTTGTTCTTTCTTCGTCCCACCTTCGCTGCAAAACGAAGTCAAGACGAACATGGCGCACGAAATCGCCAAAACACACCGTTCAGGCCGAGCCGCACCATGCTGGTGCCACAATTGCCTAGCGAAATTCGGCAAGCGCAGGCAGTGAGCCTGTGAGCACCGCGCTGTGTGAACACAACATGCCTGTGAACACCGCGCTGTGCCTGCGAGCACCACCATACAGTGGGTGCAGATCCCCAAGAAACCTTCCACAAGCAACCTAGCCCTGAGACCCCAGGGCGTCAATGGTTTTTTGGTGCGGGAACGTCACGCTTTCCGTAGGAAAACCATCGAAAGTCACAAGAAACCCAGGGCACACTGGAGGCAGACAGGGTGTTTCTTGGCATGGGCCTCCACTGTATGCCTGTGCACACCAAAGTGGCCCGCGAGCGCCACGGCCTGCTTGTGAACACCTCAAAGTGCCTTGACCACCGCATCAGCCTGCAAACGCCACCACATGCTCACATGCTGGTGAGAGTGGATGGGAGTAAGGGCGGGCTCCCCGTGACGGTCGTCACGGTTCCAAGGAATAAAGTGAAGCTCCAGCCATCCTACACGTTCGGCCTCGTAACGATTCAGCTCTGCTTGGGTAATGTTGAAAACCGGTCCACACTTCTCATTCCTCCAAGACGCGTTCACGCGTTGGGTTTTTGCCCGCGTGGGGGATGTCTGTCCCTCCCCAAAACTCGTCAAAGAAGAATCCCACGTTCGCGATTTGTGGACGGGGAAGTGTGATCTAGACATGCCAGCAAAAGAACGCAACACCATCAATCGTTTCACCCGTGTCACGCCAGAGCGCTGCTGCCCATTACCCCAATGCGCTGCGCGGAGATAAGGAGCTCAGTAAGGCCGCAACCTGGCTCCAAGAGAATCCCAGGACGGCTCGAAACGGCTCTCTAAGAAAGCTCGATGATGGCCCTGGCCTCGCAACTAGCCCCAAGAGGCCTCAATAGAGCTCCGCGAGCAGTCCAAGGTCCCAGCAGGGCCCCAGACCCCAAGATGGCTTGCTGGAACAAGCCGCATCTGCACTCCAAATCTGGACGTGCACCTCGCGCAGAGAGAAACATGACTGGGGGGCAACGCTGGACAACTCGTTAGTAGATGTATGCCAGAGACGCAACGTGCGCGCGTTTGATCGATGCGCGCACCACGCGGGAGTCAGTCCACAAACAAGGGCTCAGCAGTAGCACGAGACTAGGAGAATGAGGAAGAGGTAGAGGACGATGAGGAGAAGGAACCCCCTTCATTCGCCCAGCTGAAAGAAGGCGTGCTCAACGAGGACGATCTGCAAATTTGCTCCTGCAACCGAGGATCATAGTGTAACATGCTGAATGCATTCCTCTGGGGGCATTTCGACCTGTGAGTGTTCGTCTTCTCCCAAGAGTCCTCCGACGGCAAACCCTGCTCGCTTCAAATGCTTGACGTAGAAATTTAAATATTCGATGTTCTGCTCTGTACGTCCATGAACAACTCTCAAGTCAATCTTTCCAAAATGAAGCCATTCTGGAGTCTCGTTGTCACCACGCGCGTGGTAATGGTACCCGCCTGCTTTCTTCTCATCTGCTAGAGATCCTGTAATATTGAGCTCTTGGAAATATAGGTCTGCACATGTTCCACCCAATCGGCTCGCATCGGCCTCCACGTGGAGGTATGCGTTTTCAGCGGGCTCCCCACGAGGGATGTTTATCAAAACATGTCTGCCTGGCATCATCAGGTCGAACCGCTCACCAAATACGTTTTTCAGGTGGGGATCGCCCGTGGCGGTGATATCGCCCGTGCTGGACGGCAACTCCTCGGGAGGGGTGTGGTTCGCTCCCGGCACGCACCAATACATTGTATACGGCCGACCCGGAAAAGAAGCGTCTGAATAACTGTTGTGGCAACAACCACCGACGCCGCCTCTACCGTCACCCCAGAATGACAAATACCTTCGATCATCACCCACCACGTTATTGAGCGGCCAATTCGTTGCAGACCCACCGACATGTGCCGAAAAATAGTCTGGGATGTGCCACGTGCTCAGGTCATTGCTCCATTCATGCCGGTTGGAACTTGTCAGCATATCGCAAAAGTCAGCCCCGGTCACTGGCCTGAAAAAATCAATAACATCGCCCATGGTGATTTGAATGTGACCTGCATCCGACGGAATATTCTTGCAAATCGTTGTCCAGTCGTTGGAGACAGTTCCGGTAGTGAGTTGTTGACACGTGTCCCCTGAGATCGACGTCGGCGAAGGCGTCGGCACCTCCGGAGGGTTCGCCGTCACAGCAATACATATTGACGTGGCACCAGGCTGATTGCTCCCATGATGATAATACACGTTGCTTTGCCCACCCAACTCGTATTTTGCACAATTGCCACCGAAACCGTAGTGCGTAAGAAAGCCTGGGCTGAGTCCGAGCGCAGCCCCAGCTATGTCACACACTGTCCCAACAGTTATCGCTTCATATCCACGGGGGCAGTCCCCGCTTGATAGAATGTACTGTTCCAGCTTGCATATCGGGAAGGCGCCGCACTGATTGCTCGCATAATAATAGTACCAATTCTCGAGACCATACCCTCCGTGCCATTTTGCGCACGATCCGCCATAATTCATTTCTCCTAAATATCCTAAGCTGAATCCGAGTGTGCTTCCGGCGTCGTCACACTCTGCTTTAGTCGTAATGAGCGAATAATGCTCAGGACACTGGGGGCCCTTCTCACCAGGTTCGCAATACTTCTCATGGGCTAGAACGTAGGCGGGAAATTTGCAAATTGGATCGGCGCCAACTTGACCTGACGCATAATGATAATACCAAGTCTGCATGTTCAGAACCGGCCATTTTGCACAATGGCCGCCCAAATTCCAATCTCCCCGATAGCCTAAAACGAGGTCGAGAACCTCTCCAGCCTCGTCACACTCAGTAGGGTTGATGATTTCCTCGGCAGGGGCAACGCAAGAACTCGACGTAGTCTCTATGAAGAAAGCGTCGTACGAACTGCCGCCAGTTCTGCTGAGCTTGCCCCGCCGGGAAACATTGGTGCGACCATAGGTGGTCTGCGCTTGCGTCCCCACCGCTAGATATGCGCACAGAAAGAAACGAATACCCGTCCACATGTACTGATAAGTGAAGAGCTCCCTGTACGGACGATGTACGCTACCATAGGCGGTCGCTACACCGATACGATTAGTGGAATGAAAATCGTGAGCCAGAGTGGCTGCGAAGATGGCGGGGACGAGTGCGCAGGGAAATGACAGTGGGAATGTGTGACGCAGGCGGGTGGGAAGACGACGGCCAGGACACTCCTCTTACGGGGAGGGCCTTGGACAAGGAACCACTGCATAAGGAATCCAGGGTCTGGAAACTGGTGGAACTGGAATCGTGGATTGGCCATGGATATCACCGCCGCCCTCATCCGATAAGGAACGGTCCTGGTATGTCGACACCGTGCCCCCTTTCGTCACACGCATCACATGCTGCGCGGCCCCGTACTGAACTCCGCATGCGGCCTCAGCGGGCGCCTGCGTATGGCGGCACCGCGCCCCCTGGTCGCCACGCCCCTCGCACGTTGCGTGGCCCCACAAGGAGCTCTGTCTGCGGTGTCGGTGGGCGCTGGCGTATGGCGGCACCGCGCGCCCTATTCGGTACACCCTCGTGCACACCGTGGCTCCATGAGCAGCTCCACCCATGGTCGCAGCGGCCACCGTCGCACGGCGCACGCGCTGCCAATGTGACACACCCCTCAAAAACGCTTCGTTTCCGAAGTGGGAGCTCCACCTACAATCTCGGTAGGCCCCGACGTATGGTGACACCGCGCCCCCAATTCAGCACACGCCTCACACACTTCGGGGCCCCATCGGGAGCTCCACATACGGCCTCAGTGGGCGCCTGCGTATGGCGGACGCGCCCTCAACTCGCCACGACGGTCCGCATGGCGGCGCCGCCCATTCCAGCGCACCCCTCGCGAGGACCGTGGCCATAATCATATGGAGCTCCGACTGTGGCCTCAGTGACAGGGTCCGCATGGCGGCGCCGCCCATCCCGGCGCACATCCGCACGAGCATCGAGGCCTCGCGTGGGAGCATGGCGGCGCCGTCCACTTCGGCGCCAGCGGCAGGGTCCGGCACGGCGCTGCCGCCCACTCGGCACTCCACGGACGGTGCTCGCGGCGGCGCGGAGGGCTCCTCCTGCGGCGCCCCGTGTGAGTGGCCGCAGGGTGGCGTCGCCCATGTCGCACACCTCTCACGAGGATCGCGCCCTCGCAGGGGATTGCAGCTGCGGTCTGTGTGAGAAAATTTGCATGTACCTCCGCCCGTTTCGGCACCCCCCTTCCCACGAGCCCCACCTGCGGCTCCAACGGCACAATCTGCATACGTTTGCCCGTTACCCTCGCACTTCGCTATACCAGCAAACGCTTCGCGCCTTGAGGGAGTTCCACAGAAGGCCCGAGTTGGAAAGATTGCATGCTCCCCCACGCCTAAGCCAGCACATCCTTCACGCGGGCCGTGCATAGAGAGGTCCATCACCAACGTGACACAGATCTGCTGAAACTCGGGCCCCTCGCCAAACTACTGCGCCGTGTTGCTCCCGGTCACCCCGTGTGCGCAGCGTCCCTCTTTCTTGCACCCGCAGCGCGGACGTGTCGCTCCTTCTCCTTCCTCCCCGACCTCCCCCTCCTCCCTCGACTGCCCTCCGCGTGCCCATCCTAGCGCGCGCCTCGCGCGCTTCGAGGCCCCACAAGGAAAGACCACGCCTGCGGCCTCCGTGGGCGCCGACGCACGGCGCACGCGCCCCCGACCCGGCACGCCCGCGCACGCCCCGCCGCCCCACGATCCGGGAGACGTCAGGCTCGGGTACGGGGCACTCGAGCTGGCCTGACGGGGCCGTCACGAAACTGTCCTCCCTCCTCCTCCCTCCTCCTCCCTCCTCCCTCCTCCCTCCTCCCTCCTCCCTCCTCCTCCCTCCTCCTCCCTCCTCGAGACCCAGCCTGAAATTCGGCGCGAGCTCCCGCAGCACACAGCCCACGACAACACCAGACCGCCCAAATCCAGGACGCGCTCGTCGGCAAACCCGAGCCCCAGCGTGCTCGAGTCTCACGCTTCGCCCGCTCGAAGAAGTCCACCGACGGCCTCAATGATCGCCCACGTATGGAGCACTCGCGCCCCCAATCCGGCACACCCCTCGCACGTCTTGTGGCCCAACAGGGAGCTCCACCCTGCGGCCTCAGTGGAAGACCCGACGTATGGCCGCACCGCGCCCCCCCATTCGGCACACCCCTTACACACTTTGTGGCCCTCCTGTGCAGAGGGAGCTCCACCTGCGGTGTCGCCACCGCCGCCTCCCGCTCCCGCCGCCCTCGGCGACACCTCCTGCGACAACCCTCGGGGGCGCGCAAACATGGATTAGCGACCCATGGATTTGGCGCGCGGGTGCCCCGATCCATGGATCGGGGGAGGCGCCCTCCCCAACATGCGGCTGATACCGCCTCGCTCGGCGGCAGAAATCCACGACTTCCCATTGAAACGGGACCCGTCGCTACCCACGCCCCCTGTTTTGTTCAACCATCCCCAGTCGAAAGGTTCAGGTTGGAGGTAGAAGCACTCGGGGGCACCCAGCGGCTTCTAGGAGTCCCAGGGGCCCTCGGCGGCACGTCCACGCCAGCAAACTCCACGCGAGGCGAAACACGCCTAGTGAGGCGCCTGACCATGTCAGGCGGACCGTCCGACCAGCGCTAATCCACGCCCCCGCGATCCACGCTTGCGATCGCCCGAAGTCCAGGGCTCCGCCCGACGCCTCGCTTGGAACTCGCTCCCCCTCGCCCCCGCGCCCCCTGAGGAGGCGCAGGAGACGGCAGAAGGCGCACCGCAGAGCGCCGCCTCCTCCCACTGACGCGCGAGGCACCGCCCACGGTGCTCGTTGTTGTGAATGTTTCGTGCTTGTTGCTTTTGTTCATGTATTTGCTTGAATGTTTGTTGTTCGGTTTGTCAGCCCCCTCTTCCTCGTCCTCGTCCTCCCCCTGCTCGTCTCCAGGCTTTGTTCATATATTAGTGTCACTGTTTTTTGTTGTGTTTTTCGGCCCCCTCTTCCTCGTCTTCGTCCTTCCCCTGCTCCTCTCCAGGCTGCTCGCCCTCAGGGGGGCCAGGCGCCCCTCCCCGGACCCGTCCTGGACCGCTCCCCGACCCCGGACGTCGAGGCGGCTCAAGCCGCCGCGGCGACGCCCGCCCCCGCCCGACGAGGCCCGAGCGTTACGTCGGGCGTGTCCCCCAACAGGGGGATTTTCGACGAAAAAATACCCCAAACATACTCCAAAAAGGTAAAAAATACAACAAAACACGGATGATTTTTTTTTTTGAATATTGTTGGGCCATGTTGGGGGTGTTTTTATTTTTCGTCGAAAATCCCCTTGTAGGGGGACAGGCCCGACATAACCCGAGCGGGACGACACGACCTCTCGTCCGAACGCCCTCCCCCCCCCCCCGCCAGATCCCTCGGTGGAAATGAACCGTTGCCGGGGCCTAAGAAGAGGGAACATGGAGGGAGGGTGTATTCCAACATCTCCCCCCAGGGTTCACAGCTCCCCCGGCGGTTCACCTCCCCGCCGGGGCGAGGCCGGGGGACCTGCGGCGGCGCGCGGAGCGCGCCGCCGCCGTTAGTCACGCTGTGGTCGATGTTTCGGCCGCGTGCGCTTCAGGAGTCTCCGCCCTGTCGCTGCCAGGACAAGCCTGGGGGTAGGCGGCAGGCTCGTTTTCGCCGCCGTTGTGCGTGTTTCGCATCTTCGGAGGTCAGGCCAGCAGAATCCAGCAGAATCGTCCTCCTCCTCCTCCTCCTCCTCCTCCTCCTCCTCCTCCTCCTCCCCCTCCTTCCGCCTTCTCGCTCTGTGTCGTGGGCTCCCGCGGTCCCGGGCCCCCGTCGGAGGCCACGATAAGGGGGGCGAACAGCCCAGGAACGGGCCCTGCACGCACTCGCCGGGGAGCCTCATCGAACCCGTACACCATCGGCGCCCCTGAATGCCAGAGGGGGGAGCCATGCATTGCATTGCTTTCCCCCCCCTGACTATCCGCCCTCACGGTCGCCTCCGACCCCCCCGCTTGGTGGGAGTCCCTCGGCGTGAGACCCCTGTAGAGGGACGAAACATCAGAAACAGAGAACGCTTGAACACCTCATCAGCATCATCAGCATCATCATCACCATCATCACCATCATCATCCGCATCACCATCACCATCACCATCATCATCATCATCCTCATCATCCTCCTCCTCCTCATCATCCTCATCTTCCTCATCCTCATCATCCTCATCAGCAGCAGCATCATCATCACCACCACCACCATCATCATCATCATCGTCATCATCATCACATTCATTATTATCACCATCATCATCACCAGCATCATCATCACCATCATCACCATCATCACCATCATCAGCATCATAAGCATGATCATCAGCAGCAGCACCAGCATCATTATCCTCATCCTCCTCCTCATCGTCACCAGCATCGTCATCAGCGCTTTGCTTCCTTCCTCGCACGCACAACAGCGCGAGGAGGCGGCGGCGGAGGCAACGACAGCGAGGACGAGGACGGCGACCGGCGACCGGCGACCAGGACACCACGACGACCAACCCCCTCCGACCTCCCTGATCAGCCCTCGGCGCGCGGGCGAAGGGCCTTCCGCGGGCAACGGGCGGGTCCTGGACCTGGGGGCCTTTCCGCGGGTCCTGCTCCCCAGCGGTTAACGTTCCCTGTGTTCGGCGTTTCGACGCTGGGCGGAAGGGGGGGGGGGGCAGTCTGGTTCCCGACCTCTGTTTCGTGCGACTGTTTGCAGCAGTGGGTCCTATGAGGGGAGAGGCTCCGCCCGCTCGGAGCAGGCGCAAAAATTAGCCTGGCGAAGGACCCAACCATATGCAGCTGCGAATACCGCAAGGATACCAGTGTCAAGCTCCCCCCGACCTTCGGTGGAGATCCCTATGGGGCCACGAAACGTGTGAGGGGTGTGCCGAAATGGGTGTTGGGGAGTGCCGAAATGGGTGGTGGGGAGGCATGCGAGACGCAGCCACTGGGGCCTTCGGTGGAGCTCCCTATGGGGCCACGAAACGTGTGAGGGGTGTGCCAACATGGATGGTGGGGAGGCATGCGAACCCTGCCACTGGGGCCTTCGGTGGAGCTCCCTATGGGGCCACGAAACGTGTGAGGGGTGTGCCGAAATGGGTGGTGGGGAGGCATGCGAACCCTGCCACTGGGGCCTTCGGTGGAGCTCCCTATGGGGCCCCGAAACGTGTGAGGGGTGTGCCGAAATGGGTGGTGGGGAGGCAT